GGCGAACAAACAATCAGATGAACAAATGCACGATCGGCAACTCGGACAGCGCCACGGCACATAAGGCACATACCTGTGGCAAAAGTGCTCAACCTTTACGGTGCACTTCCACTCACAGGGCGCTTGCACCCCTTGCAGGAGACAACGGTCATGTTTTTCTTGCAGTGCATGTTGGTCTGACACTGCCTCCTTCTCAGCTCTTGTGGATGCTGTGGCTCAGTGGGCACCGACGTCAGACTGGCCTTGACACGCAGGTGTTCCTCTCTCTGTTCCTTTGCCAGCTCAAGAATGAACATGTATCATCTGTCTATGGTCTCTATCTATTTGTATATCCTATCTATCTGTCGCTATTTGTTAAATTCCCGCTCATATATATGAAGTCTATAAATAGAAACAATAACTAATAAAAACGATAAAACGATGCGTGAAAACAATCCAGGGAAATGTATCATCAACTGCCGTCTTTATGACATATAAATGCTCAGAAATCTTGTGTGTTTTATTTTAGTTACACATAGGCTCCAGAAAACATACGAGACACATATTTAAGAAAAGTCACAGGATGAGAGGCTCGTAGTTTTTATTTAAAAAGAGTTATTTGTATTATAAAAACCCAAACCGTCCGTCAGGCGGTCTTTGCGGTTCTATTGTTAAAGCCGTATATGTTGCATAAATATGTTGGCTACATAACCGTAGCGAAAGTTTCCATTGTGTTTTTGCAATTAAGACACTGCAAGAGTTTACCTGCAATTTTGGTTATTTAAAAACAAGGAATTGTTGGGACTTATTTTTTCTGGCCGTGCTAATCAAACAGGTATCAATAATGTTAAATTTGTACTAGAATCATTTCAAAGTTCTGGTAGTGTGACAGGTCTATATTGTACACATTGTCTCCAGACATTTAATTGCCTCTCATGACATTTGTAGGTCTTCTGAAAACGGCTCTCACTCTCCTCCTCCCATCCTCTTCTGCAGCTCTCACCCTTCCTGTCAGCTCACCGTGTTATCTCTCTGAATGAGTCTCTTCAGCAGCTGAAGGCAGCACACGATGATTAGCCTTGATTAGGCCAAAGAAAATCTCGCTTTCACTCTCACCTGTCATTATTTCACTTGTTCCCCGACATCAAAGGCAGGCGGTGAGCCGGGAACAATGTGGAGAGCACACTCTTCCCTTTCTGATGACATCACTGACATAATCTGAGAGACATCTTCTGAAAATAAAGAAGAACGGATGTAGAAGTTTCAAGAAGAGTTAGACATAATCTATCTTCTCAGCAGCAGATCCTTTAACTCCTTTAAATTGTGTCGCACTTTCTTGTCCAGCAGATGTTGATTAGACGTGGGGAATTTGAAGGCACCCTGAGCCAGCACCCTGAACTTGTTGCTGTGTTCTTCCAGGCCACTTTCTTTCCATTCCTCCATGGTCCACTTCAGATGCTCACATGGCCATTGTTGGTGCTTTGACCTGTTTACATGGGATCAGCATGAGCTCACTGACCAGTCTGCGGCTACACAGCACCGTACACATCAGACTGTGCTGCACTCTGTGTGCTGACATCTTTCTACCAGAACCAGCATCCATCTATTCAGCCCTTCGAGCTCCAGTAGCTCCTCTGATGTTGTTGGTGAGCCTTGGTTGTTCATGACCTTGTAAATAGTAAATGGACTTGAGCTTGTATGGCCCATTTCTAGCCTTCTGACTACTCAAAGCGCTTTTACACCGCAGGTCATACCAACACATTCATACCTATTCATGATATGTAACTGCAGGATGTGGAGGATCAAACCCCAAACCTTTCAGATGAGAGATGACCGACTCTATCCATGAGCCGCAGCCGCCCCACTTGGGGAACTTCTGTTTATTTGCACACTGGCTTTTTTTTTTTTAACACTGGAAGTTTCCACTTAGTTACTTACCTCACTGTGGACTCTGGAGTCAAACAACTTTGCCCCACTAGTCTGCCTCCGTTCACTTCACCCAGATGGCGAGGCGTTGCACTCTCATCTTGAACTGACTGAGTGTAAGGGACGTGTCCCTCCCAAAGTCCCTCGACCCTGGGGCGAAATGCCCGACTGTAGAGATGCAGCACATGTCTTAAGGGTCCACCGCGTTTACATGCATAGACCGAATATTAGGGAGAAGCTTAAACTCAAAGGGGTTTTAAAATCAACAGAATTAAAATAATGTTGTTTGACAACACGCATGCAAATGTAACGGAGCGATGCAAACCAAATCCTTAATTGCTGTTTGGTCTCGATGCTGCCCCTGGGCCAGGTGATCTGTATTTGACTCATGTTTATGAGATATGAAGCAGCGCATGTGTGTGTGTGTGTGTGTGTGTGTGTGTGTGTGTGTGTGTGTGTGTGTGTGTGTGTGTGTGTGTGTGTGTGTGTGTGTGTGTGTGTGTGTGTGTGTGTGTGTGTGTGTGTGTGTGTGTGTGTGTGTGTGTGTGTGTGTGGGGGGGGGGGGATCCACCTGAGGCGTCACAGCTGGGGGTTGGAACAGAACTAGGCCACGTTTCGCCTGAAGTGAGAGAATATTTAACCCGTCACAGCTGCGACGGGGAATGTTTCACCGAGGGCACAAACAGGGACTCTGCTAATTTCACATTCAGACGGTGGATAGGGGTCGGATGCACGATCGCGTCGGATTGTTTTCTGTTTGTAACTGAACAACATTTAATTAATCATTCGCTTTAGTGACTCCAGAAAAATGTGTGCACTCGCCTCTGTCCTGGAATTGTTGAAGGCTGTTGAAGCGTTGTAGCTACCAGTTGGACACGCTCCCATAAATCAGCAGATTGTTGTGCAGGCGGCTGTCATCATTAACATCACAAGCAGCTGGGGTATTATCCTTAATTAGAGGCCTGAGTAAATGGAGACTTTTTCACCTCATTTCATTAATTAACGCCTCTCTTGTGAGAAACCTGGCATGCTTGTAGAGCTCAAACATATTTCTCTGCAAACAACGTCAGCCAAGTCTATTGTCTCTGAAAGGCAATTATTTCTTTTTGTCAACAATAATGAATTCACGTCGTTGGCATTAAAACTAGCTTTGCGTGTTTCTCAATCTGTTGAGCACTGCGACTATTCTTAGCACATACGTATGTCATCATGCCACGGCCGATGGCATGAAAACATGGGATTAAGAATGAGAGATGCATTTCATCATTACAATTAATCCATCATCTGAGATGCTTTTTATGGTATTTATACTGTAGGGTGTGTTTGTTCTCTGCGATGCTTCTCGTACAGATCAGAGAGATTTAATATGAACTGCTTTTTGTTCTTATAAAGATGGAGTGAAGCGTGATGTCTAAAAATAATTCTGCTGCCATGAACTAGAAGGCTTTTGGTGTTTAAAGTCTGACACTTTGATATCTAAGCATATCACAGACTAAAAGGTTTTGCAGACGCGGGATATCTAGCAGGTTTACGATTTAAAACTACAACTAGATATCTGTTGAGATCAGGGCTTGACATGCTGGGCTGGGATGTGGGATGCAGTTACACTACAGTCACTCCACATGCCACTTTGGCGGTTTGAATTTTATATGTTTTTTAATTGTAGTTGTCTCAAAAAGGTCATCTTAAATTATAAACTCAATGCATTTTGACACTACAAAATTACAACTCCCATTGCTCATTGGTCCATCCATGAAGCCTCATGTCTTGCGCTTACGAGCTGTTGACCCTCGACACTGTAGTTCCTGTGGTGAACATGGTGGAGATATGTGGTGGCACATAAAAGGTCCAACAAAACCCAGAGAGCGGAAAACACAAAAGAGAAAACCTGACGATGAAGCTGAGAAGGGAAGAGGAGACAGAGAGTGGAAGTCAGGTCAAGAATAGCTGGTATTTAATCCAGCCAAGACAAAAATGTCTTGCATCATTTGTTGGATGTACAGCGGTGAAACGTTGAATGGGGCCTCATTTGTGGTTAGGACAAGAAAAAAATGTAAACATATAACAAAAAAAAAACTGACGCTGACAATGTTTTCACCATCGGTGCTGAACTGCATTGGTTTTGTGTGAAAAATTGACCCTTCCAGTTAAAGGAAGAAATGGTTAAATGATTCAGGACCTGAAGAATTTAGAAATTGAATGTAAATAACATTCCTAGAAACTTCCTAAATCATACTCCCTGTTTCACCCTCCCTGCACGATTTGTTTGTAACCTCAGTGCTTTCAAATATTCATAAAACCCGTTAGACTTCACATTTATTTCATTACAGCAAGTTTTTCAAAAGGTGAAGTGACAGAAGTTTATATCCAGTTTTATGTATAAAACACAAAAAGGAGGCCTGTATGCTCAGTCATAATGACCCTGTGGTGGCCAAGGTCAGGAAGACTCTTTTCTTCTCTGTCTGTTTACAGTGGTTTAGTAAAAGAGAACATTTCAAATCAATTTAATTTAAAGACATGAATGTTTTATTCATGTCTTCTTCTCTTCGTCCTCATGAGCCGATGCATCAGACTCGATTATTTCACACTTTTTCTTGCAATCACCCTGTCAGTTCTGAAGGCTTTTACTGAAAGCTAAAGTACAACCTTCAGCCTAATGCAGTATTTATTTGACTGATTCACGGGGGCCTGTGTACTGTTAAATGAGTTACGTGAGGTTCAAAAAGACTGAACAAACATTCATCAGGTGGAATGAAGAAAATCAACTTTGTTTCTGTGTGTCAGTGAGCATATTCTCTGTCCAACGTCCCCGTCTTGAGTTTTGTTTTTTCTTCTCTGTCTGCCTTTAAATCACTGCAATCACTTTTACTCCTAGTACCTCGGTCTCTCTTTTTTCCACCTCGCAGCCCTCTTGACTTCTGTTGTTGAAAACTAAAATCACTCACAGTTGTCGTTTGAGTAGGATCAACTAAAACAAAAATCGTATCCACTCCCAGAGCGTCTCTTGATGCACTTGAAACTGGAGCCACAGTAGAAGTTTGCCCTATCTGGTGTGTGAGATGTTTTACTTTTGCTTTCTGTCTCCTCCCCTTCAGTGTGACGGACAGTGGAGCTGGTCTGCCTTACGACGAGGAGTCCATGGCCATCATCCACCTGAACAACACCACAGTCATGTACCTGAAGGAGGTCACCAAGTTCCTCGCCATGGTCTGCTTTGTGCGCAGGGAGAGCTTCGAGAGGAAAGGTCAGTCTCGACTCTCATGACAACAGACCCTCCTTTCTGCTTGAGCTCAGCCATCGGGGTAGAGTTGCAAAGTGGGAGACTCTTCTTTGGGTGTTCGTTGTTTTGGACGTTTAGCAATAACATCTTAAAGGGTGTGGAACTAGAAAACGGAAAGTCCAGTAAAATCCAGGATATGAATTGCACAGGTGTACGGTAAAAGACACGGTCGCTGTTGAGGGTCTCCCAGAGGAGAAAAAGGCTCACTCTGGCTTCCTTTGTGATGATTTCCATTACATTCAGCAAAGTCCCACATGTGCAGTTTCTGTAGCTCTTTTAGTACCATCTGTCTTCCCCATGTGGAGTTCTTAATCCTGCTATCTAATGATGATGTTGACGGTTGTAACCAGCCTGTGACCTATTTGCCTGGAGTTGCACTGCCCACCTCCGCTGGTCACTTGTTAAATTAAATTAAGGAGTCTTTTCAATCTACTCTAACACTGCACAAGGTTAATCTAGTTTACAGTATATCACCGTTTTCTTTAAATGCATGATTATGACCTAAAGAGGAAGAAAAACAGTTAAAAAATCTACATTTATTGCTGTTTCCATTGTCAAAAGTTGGGAATGGTGACCAAATAACCGATTGGTACCGTCCTTTTTTGGCAGCCTTCTGTTGGGATGCCAAGTTGAACGATATGACCCTTTAAAGGTGGAGCTAGATACACTGCAGTCTGTGGATTGTTCGAAAAAAATTGTCACCAGTGTTTCCTATAGATCAGCTGTTTCTTTTGACAAATAAATAGATCAGCTGTTACTTTGAAGTTTTATTTTACAGTTTTTCATTCCATTTAATTCTACTTTGACTTCTTCACAGAGGCACAGCAGTGATTGTCCCTGTGTTTCAAAGACTCTGCAGAGAACCTGAATAACACCCATACAGATGATGTTGTTCCTGAACAGACGGACAGACGGAACTGCGCTCAGAGTGTGTTTCTGTGTTTTTCTGTAGCTGTTGCCCTGAGTGCTTTGTAATGATGGAGTGTGCAGGTGAGCTGCAGGGAGCTGACCTGGAGCAGCGGGGGGTTCACTGCCTCACTGAAGGGCACTTATCCTCCACTGCTGATGGAGTCTGGACATCGTCTGTTCATACGCCATCATTTAGAGGCCATTCAGGCGTCAGAGATTTCAGGCTGTGAGTGTTGTGACACGGCTTGACTTCTCCACCTGCTGCAGCGGAGGTTCAAATAAGGTTTCTGATATGGTCTGCAGTTCAAGATGTCTTTAAGAACAGGGCCCAAAAATAAATCTTAAAAAATAATCTTAAAAAGAACCTTCTCTTAAGGAGAACCATGACATGACGGGGGATGACGGGGGATGACGGGAACCATGACGGGGATACCCTGTGCAATTTATGGGACAATTCTGACAAGCTTTTTGTAGTATTCAGGGGGGCATGCGGGCTGATCAAGGCACGATCTGCTGCTGGCACGATATCTATGACTGCACACTTAAACCGTGAAAGCAGAGCCACGAACTGATCCCTCAACATAAGGGCTTTTTTCCCCTGGTTACGGCTGGGCAAACTGTACGACAGCACCTGAAATCACCATGGAAACAGCAGGCAGGCATGCCTGTCTGATGTGCCTTCCCATTCTAATCATGAAAGTCATGAACGAGAGAAACATTGGCAGGAAATAGCCTCCGACCTCTAGCTTGCCAGGGAATATTTGTTATGATTTAGCTTTGTAGTTAATGTGTGTTTGTTCGGTGACGCTGAGTGTGTGTGACAGTCTTTGTGAGAAATTTGAAATACACATTGATCTGATTTCAGCTGCTGGCTGTGAAGGCAACTCTATAGACCATTTTCAATGCTCAGTTCTAATTTAACACATATAGTGTGAGCTCTCATGTAGAGGTCTACAATCAGACCGTATGAGCACATAGTTCTCAAGCTAACTCTCTTACTGCCGGTCAGTCAGGTGAGTCAGAGCTGCCCGGCAGGTGAGCAGCTGAATCCTTTTGATGTCCTGACTGATGAAGTCTGCTTCAACATGTGTACTCTCATTGCTCGCCTGATTATTTTTAAATGAATCTTATTGAGGAGCTGCTGTGAAGTTTCAAACATTTCTCCCAGTTACTATAAAAATGCCTCTTACAGCTTGTGTTGGAGTTTATGATGGGAGTTACACCTAAAGCTCTTCATTAAACATGAAAGCGGTGAAATCATTGTTTATATATATCATTTAGTATAGAAATGCTTGTGGTGTAAGTCACATTTCAGATGCAGAAAGGTTTACAGACCGAGGTAGAGCTGGCTAAACACTGAAGCTTCAGTGTCCACGACATGGCAACCTGCATGATCATCAACTATAGGGGAAAACAGTTATCTTCAATATAAGACGCAGTCTGTTGCTGGGGAGTTTTGCAGAAAATAAAAATGTGTAAACTGCCTTCTTGCATGATTTCTATTTTGTTCAGCAAAGTCTACAACATACAGCTTTTGAATCCCAGCACAGCTTGCAATACACAGTGAATGGGGATGAATTTTCAGTCATGTCACTTTGCATGAAGTGTGTGATGGTGGCGGCTGCACCCACAGTAATGATGGCGTGTGTCTGCATTTTATTCTGGTATACTGGTCACACTGGTGTATAAGACCCATCCATCTTTTAAGATGACAAAATAGTTATTAAAAGTGTGTCTTAAAGACTGGAGTTTATGGTAATTAATTTTGCCTATCAGGAATTGTTATCTCGTTTAATATCCAAGAAGGTCCCTTTTTTGGAAATGCTATCTCCATCTTACGTTCGACCAATCTTGAAACAGGCAAAGCGGTGGAGCTGAGCTGGGCCTTAATAAATCAATCATTATTTGTATAGCGTGCATTCATAACAAGTGTTATCTCAAGATGCTTTACAAAAGAGCATATGGGATAATATGCAGGAAGGATTTCTCCTTTGTATTCCTGTCGTTCCTGTTGTCCACTGAGGTGGACCTCGGAGCAGGCCGTGCATGAATGAGGACAGTGGTGGTTTGTGGGGACCACGCAGTCTGATCATAATGGGCGTCAGGGACGTGGTAGTGCCATATCACCCAATGCACACTAATGCGAGTATGTTTCTGAATGATGAGGTTAAAATTTGCAGTCGCTGTAGGAAGAGGAGGGAGTGTCACTCATGATCTTGATGTTCATTTATCACGACTTCTATTCAGAATAAGTTTTAAAACCCATCAGTGGTTCATCCTGTGGGAGAAAACTTCTTTCACATCATTAATATGAGCTCTTGGCTGTTCCCTGGCTGTGACAGCACTCCCTCTGAGATTCAGGTAGAGAATACCACCAGCATTGTAATGTCTTCCTTCCTGTCATGGCTGAACAGAGCAGTGAGGAATATTTCCTGTCTAAGTGACAGAAATCCATCACTTCACAGACACATAAAGCAGCAGTGTAACATATTATAAGACCATATGAGGCGACAGCTATCAGACACTGGTCCGTTAAAGGAGTAGTCTGTGAAAATATTTGTACATTTACCCTCACAGTTCATCATTTTGAACTCGATGAAAAGTCAGACAGTCCAGTGAGTTCAGTAAAAGCATCATTCTCATTTGTAACGAAGTCTTACACTCATGAGTTATTTTTCAGAAAGATTTAACCCTAAGCAGCCGTGTTCTGTCACATACCTTGGAAATAGATGATTTGAACTGACAGTTCAGACGTGAGTCAGGACGACTGCAGGAAACAATTTCTCATTCAAAACTCTGCCCTCTTGTTTTTTGGCTTGGTCCTTGTACACATAGCAACGCAGAAGCAACATCTTGGTAGGCAGCACACAGTACAAACCATTGGGGGATTTTAATGACACATTCTTGGGCTTCCAGGGCTGCTTAACCCACCCAAATTAAACAAAAAGGAACTCTCAAAGCATTTTGAATGCACAAAATGCATTTTTCTGTTAACACTTTTCAAAATCAACAGTTGTGCAAAAAATATGTAAAAACAAGAAAAAAGAACTTGAATATAATTTGCAAAACATGTTTTGTTAATTCTACCTTGGGACTGGGTTGAAAGCGCTGGAGAGTCGTTGAAAATGGATCCAAGGTTCAATGAACCTGAAATCCTTCGGTTGAATTATAAATTTCAAAACACAAGGTGAAGGAACTTGTCTGCTGGAACTCTTTCAACTCTTTACATTGTCTTCTACCATATTCAGAATCGAAGAGGAAAGCTTCATTCATTACCCTTTACAATCAAACTGAGGGACGTTTACTTTGAACGAATAAAAAAACTCAACATACATTTTGTTTTACATTGAGTCACTTCAAATCATGATGCTATCAGAAACAGACAGAGACAGGGACTCAAAAGCAGACTCACACGTGGCTGAGTTCAGGAAAAGGCAGAGTTTAATTACAGTCCAGGTCGGTACACAGGAAGGTAAATCTTCAAAGCAAACAAATCCAAAGGGAGCAGGCAAAAGGCAAAAACGGTAAGGCAGGCGTGGTCAAAAATCACTATAAGTCTACTAGGGAAAAAGGCTGGAACAAGGTGGCACACAGGAACACACTATGAACTGGCAACATGAGGGAGGAAACACATGGATATATACATACAGACAATCGGGATAACAAGAGAAAGGTGAGCACAATCAGGGCAGGGAGGCTCAAGGCAGGAAAACATGAGGAGCAGGATCTGAAAGACAGGGTGCGTTCGAATTGTCCCTCCTACCTCCTTTCACTATCCACTTTACCTTAATGCCGGGGAAAACATCATGAGGTTAAGGAAAGATGTTAGAAGAATTCATAAAGGACTTAGGGAAAGGCGATCTCGTTGCTCTGACAATCTGACCGCATTTCCACTAGGCGACGTAATTAAATGCGACGGGCCGGCGGAGGTTAATGACGTGGGTCTGCCGTGGTGAAACTACAATGTTCAGAAAATGGACTACTAAAAGAGCATCTAAAAAACTTTCCCCTGTGCCTCTTACCAAAATACCAAAAACTAATTACCACAAGGTTGGAATTGAAATAAAAGCAATATAGAATACCAGGCTACAAGTAAGAAAAGTGAAACCATCAGCTTCCTGTCCACTCAGAAATCAACATCAACATAAATATGATTGTATGAAATGAATTGTTACATTTATGTAAGATATAACCTACACATAATGTTTTAAACATACAAATGTACAACTGCACAGCATTCTTAAGTGAATTAAATACGTTGAATAAAACATCATCTGGCTAAAAATGTCTCTTATCTTTTTATTCCTTGATCTGTGTCACATTACGATCATCGTTCATTTCCGTGAACGGTCGGATGCGCGACTCGCTTTAAATGTTGTGGCCGAAAGGAATTGTGGGCGGCATATCTCATCTCCTTTCGTAAAGGATGGTCCAGTGCTATCCTAAGCTAAAGGAGGTTATAAAGGAAGCACTGACCAACCTTTCCTTAGCTTTTTTTGAGAATTTGAACGACTCTTATCATGGCCGCAACTTAAATGCTTCCGGTTCATTTTACTCAGTTAGGAACCTTCCTAAGCAAAAATGACAATTCGAACGCAGCCACAAAGACAAGGGTAAGTACAAAATAAAACAGGAACAGACAATAATACTAAATACTGTAAATGAATAAAAAACAAAACATGACACTAGGTAACTTTACGGATCGTGTCAGATGCATATTTGATAAATTTGTGGCAAGATGCTTCAAAGAAAAAGGGTTAAGGTTTTACTTATTGAAAACGCAAAAAATTAAAAAGCAAAGGTTAATACAGACAGTCTATCACCTTAGAGTGCAGTGAAGGAAAAAAAGATTTACAAGATCATGTTGAAAACAGTGGTCAATTTGAAATGGCTCTGGTGTGCCACAAGGACCCGTTCTTGATCCTCTTTTATTCAGTAAATGCAAAACGTTTTATCTCTGCCATCCCCAAGTGAAATGTCCATTTTTATGCAGATAACATTATTTTATATACCATTTATTATTCTTCGAATCTAGCCACATATTCTTCCAACACAATAAATAAACTTTTTTTAAAACATCATGTAAACATACTGCCTGAGACAAACTGGAAAGACAATGCTAACTGGTATAAAGCCTGAAATATCGAAGAATAACTGACACTTAAGGCCATTTTTTGGGGGGGATTTAAAGACCTTAGCAGAGTCAGACTGCTTGATTTCAGCTTGCATGTTATTCCAGATGAAAGGGTGCATGATAGGGGAAGGAGTGGCAGCCTGTTGAATCTGTTTTAACTCCAGGGACAGACAGGAGCTCTACATTCTGGGAGTGTTGTGCAAAAGATGGGATATAAGGATTAATGAGATCAGACAGGATGAAGGAGCTGGAGTCATGTGAGGGACCTTGAAGTCTGATCCTAAATAGATGGGGAGCCAGTCAGGTGAAGGCATAATTGGTACTTTCTTGTTATAGCCAGGAGTCTACCTGCAAGTTTCTAAACATTGTATTGCAAAAAGCATGTGAAACAATAAGTCAGCAACTGTATCAATATGGGCAGAGAAAACCCTACTTAAGTCATGCTGCATTGGTAGAATAAGTCTCTCTTGTTCTTTTCTTCATCTAGTAGTTAAAGAAAGAAGGTACGATCTTATGGTGGTTCATCAAGAATCTTAGCTGTTAATCCTTGAGAATTAACACAGCTGTCAAGAGGAAATGTTACATGAGCCAATAACCACCTTTACTGCAATGTACAGTTGAGTGTCGTCAGCATAGGGGTAAAGTTTAATCAATTACTGTGTACAATTGGGCACTTAATAGAACACATTGTGTTACTTCCACTATGTAAGCTGTCTTCACATATGCACTCCTGAAAATTTGAGACAGCCTAACCCTGAAATCTTCCTCAGTTGGTTGTTCAAAGATGCATCTCACATCATGAGACCATTTTTTCTTTGATATCAGGGCAGACACAATTCATGGAGAAGATTCTGAAGCTGTCAGAGTTGTTTGGACCTCAGTATGATGTAATTAACCCAGACACAGTGTTGGGTTCTGCAACATAACTAATTAGAAACAAGACTATAAACTATATAATATGCCACACATTACTGTACCCATAGAGTGTAAATATTAATGGACGAAGCCAGACTGACGTCAGCCATCTGTTACAGCAGGGGGCTCCGGAGGCTCATCAGCAGCAACGACAGGCTGAGAACTAGAGCTTAGGCGAGTTTTAAACCTCTTGATGAACCGTCACATCGCGCCCACCTGTCAATCATGTCAGTTCACGACCAAACTATGGATAACACATATACTAAATGAAATCAAAACGGAGCTGTACAGTGTGTGCCAGTGATGACTAATCAGACCAATTTTGTTTTTTGTACCAGGCTGTAAACATGTTAATTTATGCTGTAAAAACTGCTTTGTGACTTCCAGTGCTCCTGGAGCCAGCCTCTAATGGACACTCGACGGACTGCAGGATTTTGCACGTCCTCATTGGCTTCATTTTTAAACACCTGAGGTTGCTGCTTGGTCTAACCCTGCATACAGTCTTACAGCTTCACTGGAAACCACAAACAAAGATTCTAGAAGTAATAAAACTCAAATCTCCCTGTTGACTTTGTTTTTAATAGGGATGGTTGTGACTTTTTTTAACGCTTTGTGAATGTGCCTGCAGCGTTCAGTAGTAATTAGTAAAATATTGCTCAGTGCATAAAGGGATTATGTGAAGCTTCTTAATCTCTCGGTGTATTATGCATGAACTCCTCTGCATTTGCCCAAGACTGATGACATACGACCAATGACATTCTCCATAATTAAATCCCACTTTTGAAGCCTGTTTCAGGACAGAGGATGATTGTGTAGATCAAAACGCAATCTCCTGAAATGCTGATGGAGAAGTGATTTGTGTACATGTCCTCCATGTGTCCCCTATCATCATCATTTATTAAAACAGGAATCATAAGATTTTATTCTCAATGTTTATTCTGTGTTTCAGCTTTGCCTTTGCTCCTGCTTGCAGTCGAGCTCTTTCTGTTCCTGTTCTCTCTTTAGTTTTGTAGTCTGACGTCATCCGCTGTATGTTGCATGGTAACGAGGTGATAGTAACACTCAGTGACTGACAATTACTGAAGTTGTTTGGCTTCTTTTTTTCTTTGAGATTAAAAATCCCCATGGAGATGTTCAACCACTGAGACTCACATCGAAGGAGAGAGAGTCAGAGAAACACAGACCAGATGCTGTTTACAATTAGGGCTCTTGAAAACCTTTCATGCATGTAGCACACTGTGCTTATGCCTTAAAGTTTTCATTTCAATTTGCACATATTTCTACAAATTATGCTTCGACAGTCTCAGTTGATTCTTAACATTACAAGATTGAGATTGTCTTCATTTTACGTCTTCAACTGTCATCTGCCTTAGCCTCAGATTTCTATGCAGCATGGTTCTTTGATATTTTCACATTAAGATGTCTTTCCAAAATCTTACAATTTTTAGATGCAATACATTTCCTAATTTGTTGTCCTATCAGCCGTGAAGCCAATAATTCGGGCTCATGCTGTTACAGTGCAGCAGAGGCCATCACTCTCATACCAAACATTGTCAGAGGAGACTTAAAAAGCTACATTACATAACTGTACAACGGTCCTGATGAATATGACACCCTTTGAACGTCATAAAGAGAGTATTAAAGTGCCCTTCAAGAGACCCAAGGATGCTTTTACCAGGAATGCATACAAAGAAAAATGTGCATTTGCTATGAATGTAAAAAGATAAAAGACCACACAGACTGGTGTGGTGGACCATGAGCAGGCCAATGAAGACCTGGGATTCCTGCGTGGGGTGTGTCATGGTAGTGTTGTAGTACTCAAAATCGATCTCAAGACCTCGGTCTCATTTCGGAATAGTAAGCATTTGTGGCATTCAAAAATCTCAGATTCCCCACACCTTACTACTGAGTGTACCATCAGCTTCCACTTTAAAAGTTCAAATCTGTCCAGGGTAAGGGGAAGACAACTGTAGACGTTAATAGTTTTTACATCAGTTGTCTCTAATAAGTAACTGTTTTCATATCCTGAGTAGACAGACTTTGTGTGGTATCAGTAGGTTTTCCTCTTTACAGCTTTTATCTAGATTCTGTTGATGCTGGCACTTCTATGTCGTAGACTTCACCCTGTCCTCTCTTTTGTTTCCACTCACAGGGCTGATCGACTACAACTTCCACTGCTTCAAGAACGCCATCCAGGAGGTTTTTGATGTTCGAGTCAAGGTTCAACAGAATCGTAAACTCCTCAGTCAGAGAAGGTGGAGCAAACTAAGTATGACCAACGGAGTGACCAACAACTCCAACTGAGGACAAGATGAAATCACACAAAGTGCCTGAACTGGATCGTGACAAATCCAGGAGAAGTCCCTCTGCTTTTAAAGGAGCACTTTTTTTTGTTTTCTCCTTAGTGAGAATCATGAAGTCTGTTCTGTCTTCGGTGACTTTGACTGCCGTCCTACCAGGAAGAAGCCGACTGTTTTTTTTTTTACCAACCTTGCTCATTTATGTGCCAAAATTAGTTTCAAGAAGGCACCGCTAAAAACGTACAGGAAGAGTTCGGTTTTATATGTAGCAGGCAGGTTTAGCTGCTTCTAGTGAGAAAAGAATGTAACTTTAAGACCTATGGTCTCTATTAACCATTACAGTTAGCTTTAATAAGAACAGAAACATAAGACAGCAGCCAAGTTTTGTGATTTAACTTTCACTAAATACACTAAAGGAAAGAAATAGATGGGAGGCATGACAAACATGCTGGTTCATAGGACAGACTTTAAGATGTTTTCCATGGCTTTCTGTAAAAAAAAGGCTCTATTTTCACACATGCACTCCCGAAGGTGTCTAAACAGCCTGCTGCTGAAACCTTTCTGAGTTGGTTATTTACACACTTCTCTCACAGTGGGAAGTTTCCTTTCAGACAGTAAGTAACACATGATATCAACATGTTTGTGCTGAAATCCAAGATGGTGGACAAAGCAACAGAGTCTGACACAGTAACGACTGATTGAGTGGTTTTTGGTTTTATATAGATGCTGGGTTATTTGGACGTATTCACGGTATCATCAAATGAATGGAGAAGAATACACGAGTGAGCAGAAAGAAAATATGAAGAAGCTTCACGTCATGCACAAGATCCCACCCATGTTTCTCCAGCCTCTTTATGTTCACGCCCTCAACTTCTCCTCCACAGTGAATTTTCCTGAATGTTTTCCTGCGGCATTCACACATCGGCTCAACACCAACTTCATGCAGAAATGTTAAGAGGAGGCTGGCAGGAAAAGGTCTGGATAAAGTCTGTTTGCATTCACACATGTAGCTTAACTTGAAGATTTTGGGAAATTTTCAGGAGTTTTTTTTTGCATGTATGTAAACGCCAAGAGTCATTTAAGACGACTTAAGGCCTATTGGGACTGAAAATATGTCTCTTCAAGCGAAGAGGTGTCTCTAGCATGTGTTTATCAGAGATTTTCATCCAGTTCAGAGTGTGTACATGGGTAATGTTTAGCACCAATACTGCAATAATAGAGGGAATGATATGCAAGAGTTAGAGTATAAATCTGAACCAGGTGGCTGCACCAAGGACCCCGACTTAGGCTGGAGATACACTTGCTTTTAACTACACAATCACATGCACATGATGTCCTCCCCGCTGTGCACATCCTCAAAAATAAACGTAATGCGGTAGTAAGATGCAGTATGGACAGGATAGTGTAGGGGCTGAGGGGATGTGACCAGGTGAACACAGCAGCAGGGACAACAATGGCAGAACGGTTTGAGAAAAAGCTGATAGATCAAGTCTTAATAGTCCCAAAGAAAACAAGAACAGGATAAAGATGCTCACCATTGTCCTTAAAGGCTTGATTTAAGAGTCTCAGAATCAATCTATGCAAGTGCCTTTTCCTGCCGTTTTACATGCCGTATACTGTATCTCTTAGTTGCATGCAGCCTGATCACTCTGGTGTGCCCTCCACTTCAAGAGGAGAGACTCCAGATGTGAACCAATTAGAAAGGCTTTGTTTGGTGTAAAAGGCGGGGTACCAGCTAGGTTCAGGACAGTTTTAAAAACAGCCTGTTTTCAGGACAACAGATCGATTACACAAGGGTGTTTCAATCTGCAGGAGATGTGCCTGTACAGAATTCTTTTGCTGTAATGTTCCGAGTTTGTAATTGGAAAAATGATCCGGTGTGGCTGACTGTTGTGTTGCTCCAATAATTTAGGTATCCCTGCTTTTAACAGTGTTTTTTTATCTCACTATCAAACTGAGATAGACAACAAGGAAGCATGAAGAAATGTATTACTCCTAAAGTGAAAAAGCTCAGTGTGCTAGACTGATAATGTGCCTTATTTTAATGTGTTTTTATTGCTGATTATTTATATAATTTATGATGCTTTCTACTGATAGTTTACATGAAAGGTTATGCCCCTATGAGGGAAATTGGATATTTCCATTTCCAACATAATAAAGTCATTATGTCGATATGACTGCATGTGCTAATTAAAACTATTGTTACATTTTTGAACCTTCAGGAGTTATGATTAAAATAGATATGAGGTCACATTTTTAATAATAACAAGGTTTTCAGTCTCAGGCTCCGGACCCTCCACAGAGTCATTGAATATTCAAACGGAGAATAAGCACGGGCTTGTCCAGACAATTTAGACAAGGGGGGTGCCATGCCACCGCTGACCACCCCACCCTACACACGCCTGGGTTTAAGGAGACGGGAATGTGCACTCCTTGGACAAATCTTAATAGTACTGGTATTATATTTTTGAATGAAAAGAGGGTTTAAAGGGCATCAGCGTGTCGGTATAAATCTTTGTGAGCTACGTCTGTGCTCTTGAGAGAAGGACATAAAAGCATTTCACATGACAGGGTTGACGGCTGTAATTGCTGCAATTCTGAGAATTTGGGAGCTTAGAAAGGTTACAGTCTACAGAAATAAAGAGAACTCTGTAAGAGCAGCAGCTCAGACAGCTGTTTTTAATGATTCACGTGTTGATTTCTACAGGAAATGTAGGATATTTTTATACAAGGATATAGGAAGAATGTGTGACATTTTACACTTAAATTCAGCAGAAATCCAGTATATCCTGTTTAAATGTCTCTCTGAGTCATGACTCTACAGTGAGTGAGAAGCTCGAGTCCCACTGGCTGTGTAGTCACAGAAGTTCTCTTCACTGTTTGATAACTTATCGATGTTTTACTTATTTATGTATTTATTAACATTTGTGATTAAATACATTTCAACATGATGTTGACACTGTGTGTTGACTGTGTAAACACATGTTAGTTTCATAAATCAAAGTCCCACCACTGCACTGCTCTTCTGCACTGGTGTCATGTTTTATTACTAAAAGGTTGCCACTCGGTGACAACGCAGGGGAAAAAAAGAGTGTCTGATCACGGTCGTGAAGAGCGGCAAAAAATGTCTAGGTCCTGAAAAAGACGGAGCGATGAAGTCTAATTTGTGGAATTGAAATATGCCACCGCCATCTTGGTAGGCTGCGTAGGTGTAACAGCACTATGCGTCTTACAAAAGTGCAGTTGCACTCAAAGACCTTCCGTGGGCGCCAAAGCGCATCAAACCAAATTCCCACATATTGGTGCTTTAAGCAAGATCTTTGTGTGTCACTGTGGTGATCTGAATGGTCTGTAAACTACCCTTTAAGCTTTTCTGTGTCTTGAACTGTATACAGTAAGTCAAAGGCAGGGTTGGTCATTTTCTCCAAATTCACTTTTTTAAGATTTTGGTTGAAAATGTCTTTAGGTCCTGACAGTGCATGCAAGTGAGGGGAGTGGCTTTTGAGGGAGCACAGAGGGGAGGGGAAGGGTGCTGACGGAGCACTGAGGGAATGCTACTTTCAAACTCATGCTAGTTTTTGAAAATGACCAACCCGGCCTTTAAACTGCACTCTTCTCCAGTCTATGAGGGTGGAGGCCAAAACACAGACACATTTCTCAACACCTGGACAGTTTAAAACCAAACGACTGATAGAAGAGCAACAGGCTGAAGTGAGTTTAATGTTTTCTGAAGAATAAAAATTGTCTGCACAGAATTTCACAAACCTGCTGATGTGTTTCTCTGCCTTGTCTTCTAACCAACTAAACGCCATTTAGCCGTCTGCTTGTTGTGCAGCTTTAAGGGGAACCAAACCTTCAGGACACCCACACAGGTGAGCACTTTAAACTGTGTGTGTGTGCTTATGCTGTTTGATTGATACTCTTTCACTCCCCTGTTTCTTTGGCTGTGAAGTCACTTCTCCAACCTCTCATTCTGTGTTTCATGTTGCAAAAGAAGCTCTGAAGATAACTCGGTAAATGTTTTTTTTTTAAACAGGTGAGTCACCAACAGATAATGAATAGCGTTCCTTTCCCTCCTCCTTTGTTTGACTGTCGTCTTTATTATTCATTTTACAAAAATGGTACTGATGTAAGGTTATTTCTTTTTGTAGCCTCCTTTTCACATTTGTCTGCAATTTCATTTCCTTTCATCACAAGATGTGCCGGTATTCATACAAAAATTACCGTCAGTCCCATCATCTGAATTCTGCTCATACTCTCAGCTCTCTCCATCTCCGGGCCTTGATTGTTAACTTCTGTCAGGTGAGATCCATCACAGGCTGCAGAAGAGATGATAGGGAGAGTACAGCCTGCAAAGCACAGGAGAGAGAGGAAACAAACACGCAAACTTCTACGGCACCTAACAAATCTTTTTATTTTCATCAGTTTTATTGGCACATTTTCAGAAAACTTCTGTGAATCCAAATGTAGCTCCGTTTACCTTCCACCTGAGGCTGCATACACATTAGAGTCGTAAATTAGTTTATGTAGTATATGACTTGGGGGGGGGGACCCAGATAAACAGCAATGCATAAAACTGCTAATGTGATTCTCTGACTTGTTTTCTTCTAACCAACCATTTAGCCGTCTGAGTTGCTGCTTATTGTGCAGCATTAAGGGCCAAACCTTCAGTAGACCCACACAGGTGAGCTCTTTGAACTGTGTGTGTGTGTGTGTGTGTGTGTGTGTGTGTGTGTGTGTGTGTGTGTGTGTGTGTGTGTGTGTGTGTGTGTGTGTGTGTGTGTGTGTGTGTGTGTGTGTGTGTGTGTGGCTCATGCTGTTTGACTGATAACTCTGACACTTCCTGTTGCTTTGGATCTAAAGTCACTTCTCCTCTTCTCTTTAAGAATATTAATAACTCCTATAATGTTACAAAATCAGAGAATAACGAGCATTCTCAGTTGTCCTGATTTGTCCCATTTTCACTTCCTGTCCCTCATCACCTGAACGCAGCATCGATCACAGAAATAAGTAGCTCATACATCAACAGATGTGATGGTCAAACAACAGCAGCTGGATGCAGCGCAGCAGTGAGAGTGTAGAAACTCAAATATTAAGGGGATATCTAATGATATTGATATTGATATTCAACTATACTGTCAGTTAAGAATCTGTTGTCTTGCAGATAATAAATATCTTTTTAATTCTGCAGCCATGACACGCTGCGTTAAATGTGTGTTTACTCTTATTTATTTTTATTTTGTAAAATGACGTCAATACTCAACATTTTCTGTTTACAAGCTGTTGATTCGGTTTTGTAAAAGTGCCATGTTTAATTAAAACTGAGCAGAGAATCACACCCACGAGATTCAAAACAGCACCATGGGGGGGAGAGACAACCGGAACACATGAACTGTCTGTGAAACAGAAAAACAGGGACAAAGCTGAGAGGAGGGAACATGCAGTGATTTAAAAAATGGAGCTCAGAACATAAAGAACATTTTATTTTGACCCTTTCTTAAGGTTACTATATTTCTTTCTTCAAACTGAATTTGTTTTCTTACGTTTTTGACACAAGAAATCCAACATAAGTAATCCCTTCTGTTCTGTGTGTGAATATTCCCCGTGCACATTTTCAGATTTTTAAAACTCAGTCAGGAGTGAAAAAAAAAAAAGGTGACCAAATATTTGATAAGATATAGGTGTACTTTATTGTCGTGTTGTAGTCAAGACCAAACTAACCGAGACCAGAGTACTCCGAGGCCGAGACAAGACCAATAAATCATTTCCTTTACTCACTTGTCTCTCCTGATTGAATTACAGCGTGAATGATCAAATTACTGAGCAGTGCACTGATTGGTTGTCATGACCGCCTGCATCGAACTCCATCGCTCACCACCGTCAGCCATCCAATATATTTCAACCATTTGGTATCAATCACAAACGACAGCACCCTGGGGTGTTTCTGCCTCCTGAGAGTAGTACCTGCACACGTGCAGTCTTATTTCTTCTTTTGGGGGGAACTTTGTCTCTACACCTCATGGTTAACATCACACAGCTGAAGAAATGCTGCTACAGTTATCATTTCCGTCCTCCTTGTGACTCTAAAGTGATCGTGCAGTTGGAGCGTGTCCCATGTGCAGAGGCTCGCTGTCGTCCTGAGGTAGAACGACCCTCGACATTCACCACATGTCATCTCCCAACTCTCTTCTCCGAGCACTTCCTGTCTCTCTTCACTGACCTCTCTCATAAAGGCACAAATCACCCAGAAAATATCTTAAAAAAATAACAAGAAAATTATCATATTGTAGCCCGCGGTAAAAATGGTTGATAGGAAGACTGGGACTAGCCGTCACCATGTCGTTTAATTAGCCTAAAGCTGGATCGATCTGATGGGAATACCCCTAAGATTCAAGTGTTACAGGTAGCGCATGTTTATTCGCTTTTTTCCAAGTCGACCTCGTTTTAAAAGTATTTAAATGTTTTATTTTGTGTCTGTCTGACCCAAATAATGTAACGCTGTGGCTAAAAATGTATCGCTGTTTTGAGATTAAAACCTCGGATATCTCCTTAATGCTCCTGCACTCTAAGCTTTTTTATAATCCTTATGCTTTTTTTTTTTATTTATATCCATTTAGGACATTGGAATCTATTTGCAGCTGTAATGAAGTTGTTGTGGTAAAAATGATAAATGGACTTGAGCTTGTATATTTTTTTCTAGTCTTCTGATTACTCAAAGCTCTTATACACTAACTAATATTATTATTATTCTATTTATTTATTTTTATTGTAAGTGTTAGTATTATTTTTTTGACTATATTATTATTTATGTTATTATTTCTTGTCTGTATTATGGATTTTGCACCAATGTACCTCTTATTATTTAATTTACTTTATTAGTATTGTTTTTAATTGTTGTGTCTTATTGGTGGTATTGTCATTGTGGGGGTGGAGTGGCAGGTCACACCTACACATACACACACTGATGGTAGAGGCTGCTGTGTAAAGTACCCATCAGTATTAACCATAGACTGTAAATATTACTGGACGAAAACTGAAGCATCAACTTGTTGGATGGTCTGTTAACCGCACAGCAAGCCATGTATGTTGTCAGATATGTGTTAAACAAACTCTCCAAACGAAGTAAGAAAGAGGAGAAATCAGACGGATCAAGCTGTTAGCCTCCTGACCTGCTGACCTGACAGACAGATGCAGCGCGCAGAGCTGTCAATCAAATCTGACACAACCAAATATGGGCATAGACGTTTTCCTTAAAAGAATAAAATCCTATGAGTTATAAAAAAAATTCACCCCCCCCCCACAGTGTGAGGAGAAGGGGCCGTCAACTTCTCAGATATATCTCGTTTTTTGAACCAGGCTGTAAACATGTTGATTCCAGTGGTAAAAACAGGCTTTTTTGGCTGTGGGCTTATGGCACTTCCGGCGCTTCTGCAGCCAGCCTCAAGCGGAACCTCGAGGAACTGCAGTTTTTTGTACTTCCGCATAGGCTTCATTTTTCGAGACCGGAGGTTGCCCCTTGGTATTAACTCATCCATTCATACACCACAGATGAAGCAACTAGAGCAACTAGGGGTTGAGTGTCTTGCCCAAGGACACATCAGACACGTGGCTGCAGTAGCTGGGGATTGAACCCCTGACCTTCAGATTGAGAGAGCCCAGTTATGACTGGCAGAGTCTAACTTTCTTAATGCATGATTGAATCTGTTCCCCTGCACGCGAGGGATTCTCAGAGACGATGTTTACAAACTCTGAGGTGATGCAGAGTTCACGACGCAGAGTTTCAGCTTTTAGCTTTGTGTTCTGTCGTGTTAAGTTTTGAGCTCTTGTCAGATTTGGGTTTGTTGTTTTCCAAAAAGGAAATTATGGAGGAAATGACTCTCTTCTTCCTCTTCTCATACTGAGCCAATCTTCTGCATCCCCGTTTATCTTATGTTGCAGGAAGATAAGCAGT